ATATGTAAATAAGGGGGAGGAGTCAGATACTATATACACCCCCCCTGTAGCCGGTCGTACTCACGTTTACACTTTAGGGTGGAGTGCTCCCAGTTCCCGAAGATTGAGCAGACGGCTTTGTTGTGTCCGGACTCTCTCTCGTACCCCGGAATACAGGAATAGGTCACCACATCCCGGGGGGCGTACACCACCTTGCCGGGTCTGAGGGCCGCAGATTGGATCTCCCGGGGCCGCCCACACACTGGAGATCATGAGAAAAGGTCACAACACCCAGAGCTGAGACTTCAGTGTATTCCGTGTTCTGGAGAGTACGGCTGACAGTAACTAGTTCCCGGGTCCAGACATCTGACCACCGCCATCACATGGGGCTCTGCCTGCAGGAACACCCCAAGGTGGGCGGGAACACTCCTAGGTGGGCGGGAACACTTAGAGATGGTGCCAGCATACACACCATAGAAAGACCCTAGGGGGCGGTACCAGCAGTGTGGTGTCTCCACCCCCCACTGTACACTCCAGTCCCCTACAGCATACTCCATATGAACCCCCTAGGGGGCGGTACTAGCATTATGTTTTCCCCACCCCTGCATATACTCCATATGAACCCCCTAGGGGGCGGTACCAGCATTATGTTTTCCCCACCCCTGCATATAATCCATATGAACCCCCTAGGGGGCGATACCAGCATTATGTTTCCCCACCCCTGCATATACTCCATATGAACCCCCTAGGGGGCGGTACCAGCATTATGTTTTCCCCACCCCTGCATATACTCCATATGAACCCCCTAGGGGGCGGTACCAGCATTGTACTCGCCCAGCAGAGTTCGGGGCCCTCCTCGGGTGAATCTCTCCATCACATTGTCATAGTAAGGGACCATTAATCCGGCTCTGTAGTCCCCCCTCCCCCTCACATAGGCCGATATTGACTTTGACATTGCAGCAGACTTTGACCGCTGACGCGTTTCACCTTCTGACCCCAGAACATTGATAACACTCCGCGGCCTTGTTTGTCCAATGAGGATGAAGATGATGAAACTCTCGGCTCGATCCGCCGACGCCGGTATCTGACGCCATAAGGGGGCCCCGCAATACGCTTCCTCTATTTTTCATGGCCACCCGCGAGGGAGACGGGTCAGCTGACATTCTCATCCTTTCCATTTCAGGGTGACAACGCTAATCCCCCAGCCTGACCATTACCAGCAGCGTTGTCACCGTGCCGCGAGCTCCTTCAGCTTCTTTTCCGACAGACAACCCAACTGTCAGCTGAAGGGCAGGCCGACAACGCTGCTGTTTACTAAGAGGCGGGGCTTAGTGTTGTCATCCGGAAACAGGAAGTGCCACTACCAGCAGGATCTCCATGGTAGAGACTCTGCAACCAAACATGATGTTCTGATGCGCGCTGTGTACAATGAGACAAGATGGCGGAGGAGCGGACACGGGATGTACGTGCGCTTTAAGGGCCCCGCCTGGGCTCTCGGTTCACCGACCAACATGAGAATGGACAAATCCGACGGCCCAATCCTCAGCTCACCTAACATGGCCGCCCTCGTCTCTGTCCCCCGCGGGGGAAGACCCCCCACTTTTTAAACCTGCAACGGCGTCCCCCAGATAGCTGGCTCCTGATACATGCCTGAACTCTGCGTGCTGCTACC